TTGTCCACGTTGCAATAATGTGAACAACAAGAATAATTGTAGTTCATTTGAAGGACTTAATGTCTATGAAAAGCCTTGAGTCCATAATAGTACTTGACAATGAAAAAGTATAAGGTATACAGAAAGATCATTAAAAAAACCCAAAAGGACATTGGTAAAATATCTTTCATAAGTAGGTTAGAGATTTGACCTCTATAGATTGATATTTATTTTAATTGAGATATATTCTCACTAAATAGAAAAGAATGGTTACAATGAATTTTAAGTCAAATAGGTCAAGAAAGTTGGAGGTTTTTCTTGATTGACCAGAGAAGTGATCCACTCTTAGGGCCACACACAGCATCCAGTAGAGAACCTAGCAGTGGGAGTGATGATGCACAAGACAGAGCTCCCAGGGAGAGAATCTGCTGCCCAGACCCCTCCTTTCATCCTCTAGATAAAGAAACTGCTGGGTGGTTTTTATAAAAAAAAACTGAGACATTTAGGCATCAACCAGGTGAAGGCTCACTGCCTGGGACCAGGATTTGAGTGTCATGGAAGCTCTGGGGGGGGGGGGGTGCTCCATGTTGCTAGTGTAAGGCAAGGCCTCCTAAGGGCTCGTGGGCATAGCAACTGAACCTGGACTCGAAAACAAACCTTGGGCCAGAAAGTGTCAGCCTAGGACTAAACTGACTCTGCAGATCCTCCAAGACCCCACATGTCAACCAAAAATCAAGGGGCTGATAACCCAGAATCCGTAAACTCAGCTGGTCTGAGACTATATTCTTTCTTTCAAGTCTGGTGAGATTACTGTAACTCTAGGGAAGTATGAACACTGAGAAGTATAAAAAACAGGGTAGAGATAAAAACAAGTTCATAAATAATGAAGGCATAAACCCATTTGTACAGATTCTTCTTAATCATGTAAGTGTAGGTCTTATACATTTTGAATCCCATTGTGATTACTTGTGAGGGTGTGTGTGGACATGTGTGCCATCAACTTCTAAGCTTGTGATGTTGAAATGAAATTGGTGGAGATTTTATTGAAATAGGAGAATTTGTCTACTTAAATTTATGATCAGCATTTAAATATTTAAGGTGATTTGTTGATAAAATATGTCTTATTAGTGGCAAAAGTAGCACCTGCAAGTTTAAGGAAAATACTTAATAATTAATGAGATTAAAAATGTCGGCATTACAAAGGTACCAGTAGTGTTTTCCTTGAAGAAAAAGTTCTTGCTCATTTAAGATCCTAGAGATGATGTTCTTGTCTGATTTTTTCCTGGTAGGAATTTTGCCTTACTCTTGCATAAAATATAACTTCACTCTCCAAGACCATAGCAAAGAGTGAGAAGAAAAGAGAGAAGGCTGACTCTGATACTTACTATAATTCATTTACATCTTTGTCAAAATAAACATCAGCCTTTACTAGGAATCCTGGTGAAAAAAACACATTTCATCGTGTATCCTCTTCCCAACAACAACAAAAAAACAATAAATTAGGCGTGGGACGCCTCTAAGATAGATTCAGGCACATTTTCTTACTTTGCAGGACTGGCATTCTCAACACTGATCTTTAAAAGCAGGAGTAGGTCAGTCTGACATGCTTCGTAGAACATCATAACTTGAACTTCCAGAATTGGTTCAAGTTGATAATGATAATGGTAGAGATGAAATCCCATTTACAAAATCTGCCATTCCAGAAAAAGCAAATCTCTTGCACAACAGTCCATTCCAGAAAAAGCAAATCTCTTGCACAAATCCATGTGTTAGCTACTCCACACAATATTCAGTATTTCCTCAAAGATGTCCCAGCTCAACAAAGGCTTGTAGACAGAGTGTCTTGGAGCCTCTAGCAATGGGATCTGACAAGAGCTGGGCACTTTAGGCAGGCTCCATCACTGCTAATTGAAGCAGAAGTGATTCAAAGGCAAATGGGAGTCCCTGAGAGGTGAAACAGGGGCTTTGGGATTATGACTCACTCCTTTTCCCATTACACCCTTATATTTAATTACTTTCCTAGCCAGTGAATTGTAATTTGATTTGTCATCAGGTGACTCTTGCCTGGTCTCACATGTGAGTTGAGTCTTTCATTTAAAGGAAAAACATCTCATAACCCATGGAGGTGTCTGTTTCACAGGAAGGGAATTGTTCTCTGGAAGGTGGGTCTCAGATTTATAAATCCTTTCCAGTTCCTAACATAGCAGAGGTGTCAGTGAAGGACAAGGGGAGAAACTGTTTAGTCTTGAATGACACCACTGGATTCTCTCTGGGACATTATTCTATCATTGACCAGCACCAGAATTTTGAATTCACTTGGGCCCTTCCCAGAAGCAGACCCCTAGGCTGGAATTCCCATGTGAATCACCTAATTACTGGGGAGGTGATCCCAGGAAATGGTGGTAGAGAAGTGAGGGTGTGAGACAAGGAAGTAAAAGCAGCCAACACAAGTGGATTAAGAAACTAGTTCTTGCCATGGGCAATTAGAATATGACCTCATAGGGAACTCAGAGCCCAAAGGGTGAGGGGCTAGGGCACTGACATACCAACTCTCTTCAGTCTTGACTGAGGGCTGGTCTCAGTGGGGCAGAGAATGAGCACCACAGCACTTCTCGCCTGGGATGCACACAGGCACCCCAGCCAGAGACAGCCCTCAGAGATGTGGACCAGGTGCCAACTACCTCTGCTCTGAGCTGCCTGAAGACAGTAAGCTCCCTTAAGCTCCATGGTCCTTCAAACAGATAACATGGTAATACCACCTTCTGAATAAGCTCTTGGAGGGAACTGGGAAGAGGTTATTCCATCTGCCATAAGCAATGTCCTTTGACACAGACTCTGAAGCTAAAGTGAGAGTCAGTGTTGTTTTGCTTAAGAATCTAATACTGTTTTGTCTTTAACTCAGTTTTCTCACTTACCCTGGAGATAAATTGGCCTCAACATTCACAGCCATTAGGACCTCCTCTAGGCTACATGAAACCTCAGAATGCTAAACAGAAGTGTTATTCAGCATAAGGTAGGCTCAACCTGGATCCCATTCAGAAATATATTTTTAAATGTTTCAATTTGAAAAATACTGATTTTTAAATAAAACCACTACATTTCATAATGACTTGCAATTGGTTGGCATACGTTTGTCAAAAGCTTAGACAATAACTGTAGGGAAGCAGGCAGTAGAGAAAGAGAATTAATAGCCCCAAGTTATTACAGGTAAGGACAATGAAGCTCCCAAGGTGAGGTTCAAAGCTGGAATCCAGTGAAGCAGACAGGGATTGGACCCTGGGGACGAAGCAGCTGAGCAGAGTGGTAAAGAGCCCAGGCTTTGGAGTCAGGCAGACCTGGAGCATCCCACCTACGGCACTCACCAGCAGGGGGGTCTGGCCCAAATACCCAGTCATTTTATGCCTCGATTTCTCATCCAGGTAATAGGAATGGAGAGTATCTGCCTCAGGTGGTTATTGTGACAATTAAATGAGCCAGTGCTTGTAAAATACTTTGCCCAGTGCCCAGCATATAGTAAGTACTTCATCATTGTTGCTTACTATTGTGCTATTACCACCATCTTAATGCCTCCGAGGTGAGAAGTAAAAAATGTTCTTTCTACTATGCCTGGTTTGAGGCCCATGGATATCTGTGAGACTATAGTATGTATGTACCATGGCAATTAGAACAACTAACATTGATCCTTGAGCGACAGGGGCTTGAACTGTACACTTGTACGCAGATGTTTTCCAATAAATACATTAAAAATTTTTGGAGATTTGTAATAATTTGAAAAGGCATTTTCCTTTCTCTAGCTTACTTTAACATACAAACTACATGTTAATAGGCTGTTTATATTATTGCTAAGGCTTCTGGGCAACAGTAGGTTATTAAGCAGTTAACTAGTTAAGTTTTCGCAGAGTCAAAAGTTAGATGTGGATTTTTACTGCGTGGTGGGTTGGTGTCCGTAACTTGGTGACCCAAGTTGCTCAAAGGTCAACTGTACTTCATTTGCCACCCAACATGACATGAATTATCTTAGCTCCTATCTTTGCTTCACATTTTGACTCTCCTAAAATTTCAGGTTTCGTGGTAGAGAGTGTCGGGGTCTGCTGAAAAACGCTTGCATCTAAAGAGGCAGATACAGACTGCTAGGGCCTCAGATGAGAAAGATTCCTCCCCACAGGGAATGAGAACTCCTTGTCAGCTTGTAGAGAGAGATTTGCCTGCCCTCAGATGGCATGGGCCTGAGTTGCGAATGTGGGAAAGGTGGTATCTCAGACGTCTGCCTGCCTGGTAAATTTCACTTTCCTAAAAGCAGTAGTCATTTCCGTGAAGGAGTACAACACCCACCCCATTCCACGGAAGGAGGAACTAACGTATTTGGCTACATGGTCAAGAGAGGGAGTGGCAGATTCTCCGCTCCTGACTCCTGCCCTGGGAATCTTCACCTTCCTTTGCAATCTATGCAAGGAGGCCTGAGAAGCTACTCAGAGGTTCCTCGGTGGTCTCTATCAAAGGCCAACTCTAGGGAATTAAAATGTTACTTCTTTATTAACAAACAAAATAACCACCACTTACTGAGTGTGGCCACATCCCAGGTGTTACAACGTGGAAAGCGACACTGACATGATATCCTTTATAGGCACTTATCACCATAACTGCAGGAACGTCATTGTCCCCATTTGTATATGAGGACATCGGTGTTCAGGAGGTCTGCAGCTTGTCCTAGAGTCTCTCAGAAATAAATGAGAACTCCAGAATTAGAGGATGATGACAGAGGGTGGCATGCTGGCCTCAGAGGTTTATGCCATGACTAGAGCTACCTAGAGGCGACTATGATATGAAGAGCAGAGGGAGTTGACCACACACACCGACCCCCTAGACAATGGGTACCTCTAATGACATTTTTGGAAGAGCAATAATGTGGCATCCAGTGGAGATCTCTGGCAGGCCACTCACTCAAAGGCCTGCCTTGGACTTCCTTCAAAGCCACCGAGGACACCGTATGGCAGGAAATTGACAGAGACCTTATTGCTGCGTCAACTGAAGGTGTTTTATTGTGAGGAAGGCACAGTTACAGAACATAAGTCAGAAATACCACAATTTCCATAAACCCAAACACGAAGGCGTGCCTTGTTCCCTAATTCTTCCAAAATGGGCAGGTCCTTAGACAGACCTGAACACAGCCTTTGACAAGGTCAGCTGATCTCCAATCCCTGCTTTGTTTTATCAAAGGGCATTTGAAACTGTCCACTTACTGTTGGTTAGTTTACATTCAAGGGTATTTGAGGCCACTTTTGATATTTATAATCTCCCCACCATTCTAGTTGCAGGATCAGACAGGAATTAAATTTCAACCTACAAGGTTTGTGTTTCTTTGTAGCAGAACATAAATATCAAACATCGTGCATGAGCCCAGATAGAATATATGTTTGATTATATCTCAAGTCCAAGCGATACCACATGGAGATCGCTTCAGTAGCTAAGCAAATGGGACTCAGGCTATACCTGGAATCAAATTTAAAAACAAGAAGAAAGAAAGAAAGAAAGAAAGAAAGAAAGTGCATTTTTAATCTAAGGATCAGTATGACACAAATCAAACCATGCAGTCCCATTTACTAGGTAACCTGGGATTGTAATTCGGAAACTCCCTAAAAACACAACTTGTTCATAAAGAAAATTTCAGCAACAGAATTATATGTTCCAAAGCAATTCTTTTCTTACAATTCCCAGGGCCAAGAGAAGAAAAAGAAAAGACAGGGGGGAAAAAAGAAAGAAGCCAACCATTCAAAAGCCTCCAGAGCTGCGTGTTACACACACAGGTGAAAGCAAAGCAAAAGCAGTCCAACCCGGACCCGCGGCTCAGAGTGCTCCAGCCTGGAGGAGTCCCTCTGGAGGTGCTTCTCGGGTTCAGCTGCCGTGTTTCTGTCCTGGGGACCAGCAGGTCTTCCTCAGCGTCCTGCGGCAGTTCCCCAGGACGCCTGAGAAGGTGGTCCATCCTTTGGCCGAGAAGCAGAGCCTGTGGGAGGACACACAGGAGAAAGGCCATCAGGCCGGGGCCCGGGCCATCTCACAGCTAAGGGCTGCTGGGGCCCAGGGAGTGGTGCTTCCTCACCTCCTCCGGGCCTGCCTCCCGCCGCCTCTCCGGGAACATGGCTGTTATGTGTGGAGCAGCCAGAGGCTGGGGACCTTTGAGATCTTGCAGGGAGCTCACTGGAGAATCCGTCACCTTTCAGTCCATGAAGTCTGTTGACAAGAACATAAAACAAATACCCCTGCATCACTGGTCTATGGCATCCTGGGGACAAGGACACACAAGTGGCAACACACGCACAGAAAGGAGGGAAGGGTGGACGAGAGAGAATAAAACTCAGAAAGGATACTCTACCTGCCACCTTTCCCTGGAATTCCCCCAGGCAGTCGTGTCCTGGACAGGAGGCTTGAGGTGATTTCTAAGACTGCCCCGAGGTTTCAAAGGTCTGAGAGGCCAGGAAGCATCAATCCGGGGCCATGCGGGCACCTGAGCTCAGAACTCAGCTCCTCCACAACCTCAGCCAGCCTTGCCCCAACTCTCCTGAGTGGATCCTGTCACTGAAATACTGCATGACAGAGAGCAGAATGCAGTTGAGCATCAGCAGGAGGTCCTCCATCTTCCTCTGCCCCAGGGTGGTAGTCAAGGAGAGGTCAGGGGGTGGGGGCCAGGCTGATCAACCACCACCTGGGCTTCCCTTTCTAGATTTCCATCTCAAGGTCCCACCCAGTGACACCTCTAAGACGATTCCTCCAGGCCCACGGTCCATGCCCTCTGATTCAGTCTAACATTGTGTTGACTCTAAAGCATCATTTG